AACAAAGTCTGTTTCTCTCCTGTCCAATGACAAAGAGCCTGAGGTGGCAAGGCTGGGAATTCTTTAACATTTGTATTAATTATCTGAGAATTATTTCTGGTTTCTTTGTTATTGTTTCTTTGAGCAGAGTCTTACTGTATAGCTCTGGCTGTTCTGGTCTTCCACGTGCTGTCATCACAGGCCGGCCACTACCCCCAGCTTAATGATCTGAGAAGTCTATACAATGTATCATAGGTCCAGGACCTCCAACTTAGGTCAACAGGCTTATGAGGCAAGTGCTTCTACTTCCTTAGTCAACTCACTGCCCTCCCCCAACCTTGTGCTTCTGAACCCCCCTGATTTCTTGAAGAAAAAAAAAGGGGGGGGGTTAATGTGGGTGGGTGAGATGGCACATGCTCAAAATTAAATAAATGGGAGCTAGAGATACGGCTCAGCGGTTAAGAGTTCTGCACTGCTGAGTTTGAGGCCAGCCTGGTTTACAGAGCGAGTTACAGAACAGCCAGGGCTACACAGAGAAACCCTGTCTTGAAAAAAAGAAAAGAAAAAAAAGTTCTGCATTGCTCTTTCAAGGGACCTCAGTTTGACCTCAGTTTAGCGCTCAGCAACCATGTAGGGCCACTTCACAGAATCTGACACCTCTGGCCTCCACCGGCACCTGCCCACCGTGCCTCCCCAACTTAATACACACACATAATCAAAAATAAATCTTAAAGAGCCAGGATTGCAGGCACATCTGGGATTGGTATGCACCTGGGATAAAATAAAATAACCATAAATGAGGCACACAAGTAAATCACAAAGATCACACAACAGTACTCGAACACAGGTTCCACCATCCTGCCCTGAAACACTGGGATACTGAAACCTGAAAAACTCTGTGCTTCTGCTCAGTAAGCGTCCACCCCAGCCCATGTTTTTATAATACGGTGTGATTACTACTACACCTAGATGAGAAGCCCTGGTTCCCAGCGATGTTTATTTACTCTCTTGAATGATAGCAGCAGAAGGCTTTTCTAAGTGAGACCTGGAAAGATGAAAAGGGAAATGTACCCAGTGAGGCGGTTTCGGATAATTTTGACGCTCATCACGGTCTCGCCCATGGTGGCAAAGGCTCTAGAGATGAAGTTCTCATCCATGTAGGGTTCCAGCTGCATAAAAACCATAGCAGAGAGGCTCAGTTCCGGAAGCCCCAGAAGGGGTCCAGCGCCTCCCGCTCTGTCCAGGGCACTCTACTGCGCAGTCCCAGGAGCAGTCTGTCAGTCAGGTTTGCAGACGGAGGTGGGGGCGCGTGGTTCCAACCTACTCCTGTACTCCAAGCTGCTCCCCTTGCTGGGCGGTGTGGCACAGGCCTTTAGTCCCGGCACTGGGGAGGGAGTGGCGAGTTCGAGGCCAGTCCGGTCTATATAGTGAGTTCCAGGACAGCAGAACTAGGTGAGCCCCCGCCCCATCTCCAAACAAAAATAACAAATCGCTCCCCTTTATGGAACGCCCCGTTCCTCCGGCCCTAGAAACAAAGGGCCCCTCAGTTTTGGGGGCTCCTCCCATTCGACCCCCCCAATCCCCTTTTCTTTCCCAGACTGAACCCCGCAGACTCTGCATCTGATCAATCTTCCTTCCGATGCCCAGCTTCCCTTACCTACTGGGGCCAGGGTGAGAAAGGGCCTCGCAATGAGGCCCAAACGAGCCTGGAGCTCTCTACGGAGGTCCCCCTGCCTCTGCCCCTGCCCCTGCCCCTGCCTCTGCCTCGGGGCAGGGACTAAGGCACGCGCCCACACTCCGGCCTGGCTTTTCCTCTGTCACCAAACCCGCCCGGCTCTCCTCCGCCCTCCTCGCCCTCAGGCCCTCCTCCCCTATGACTCGAGAGCAGGGGCGGCCCTCACTCACGTCTCCCATCCACAGGCTGGCCGCCATCCCGCATCCGG